TTATCCCAGTCTCGATGTATGTTAGTGATAAATATCCATACAATGTTTGAAGTCGGGTGTGGTGATGCACACCTGTAATCCCAGTGTTCAAGAGGGTGAGGCAGAGGGATCACTGCAAGTTCTAGGCCAGCGTGGGTTACATAGTAAACCCAAGGCCAGCCTGAACTACACAGAACTTTTCTGAGAAACAAACATAAAATAGCTGGGCATTGGGGTGCATACCTGTCATCCCAGCACTTGGGAGGCTGAGGCAGGAGGATGTCATGAATTCTGCACCATCGTGAGCTACATAATGAGTTCAAAGCCAGCCTCAATTACAGAGCAAAATCTTGCCTCAGAAAAGAAAAAGTAAGATCCATAAACTATAAAGTAGCTCTAAAAGGTTTATAACCAGATACAGGCGGTACCTATCTACTGTACCCATAGCCCCACTTCCTGCTACTTTGTTATATATTTGCACTGCTGTACAACGCACATACTCTGTCAGTTCATAAAGGGGTGGCAGAGGGTGTTCCAGCCCATCATGCACCCCTTTGGCTTCCTCCATCTCCCTGGTGTCTCTGTGTTACAATTTCCATTAAACCCATATTCACTGTTCAGTGTTCGTGCAGGATCTTATAAGTACAGTTCTTTGCAGTTCATGTATTCATGAACACCTGTTTGTATTCATGACCAAATCCACCTGTGATTCTGTAACGGTTTATGTAAGAGTGGGATTATGGAGTCTTTAACTTTCTACTTCGTATGTTTCTTATCACTGAGCAGTGATATCCCCCGCCATCTTGAACTTCTACTTTGGCACGTGGTCTCGCTGAGGTTGAGGCTGGCCTCAAACTCCTGGGTTAAAGCAGTCCTCCCTGCCTCAGCCTCCGAAGTAGCTGAGATTACAGGAATGTGCCACCGTGTTTGGCTGTTTGTGAAAAAAGTTGCAGGCAAGGTGCTGCACACCTGGAATCACACCTCCTGGGAGGCAGAGGCAGGAGGATCTCTGCAAGTCTGAGGCAGCCTGGCCTGCAGTCGTGGCCAGCTGATACAATTGTGAGAGTCTGTGTGGACCCTCCGCACGCACGAGCGCCGACAACACTATGCTTCAGGTTTTAGAAGTCTGAGTTCTTTGCATGGTCAGCTGGTCAGCCTGGGTGGAAGGGCTCCGGCCAAGGGCAGCGGCTCCCGGGGCAGCCAGGAAGCGGACTCCCAGGGATGCGCCAGGACCCACGGGCTGGACGGAGGCAGCCAGAAAATTCTACCGCAGACACGGATGGAGGAGCCTGGCGCAACTCGCGGGCTTCGAGTCTGGGCCACCTCTGCTCCACCGTCTGCAGTCCAGAGCTCGCAGGCCCGTCCAAGCCAGTGCCGGACACCCCAGGGCCCCACCCCGCGCCGCCCCGGAGCCTGGCGGG